GCATGAGTATAATTTTGTATTCATAATTAACAAGTAGCTCAGAGTTAAAAAAAAAACTGAACAGTTTTTTGTACATAGTAGCAAGACATTTGTATTAAGTAGATAGTTAGATATTTAGTGTTTAGTTTGAGATTCCAGAGTTAAATAAGTTTAAGGTACAAAACCTTCATTGTGCATTGTAGTTGCAGCTAGTTAACCCCGGGGTTATACACATTTTGTAAGTTTGTGTTATAGCTAGTTAGGAAAAATTTGTTATCTTTTGTGCACTTAGGCTTGGTGTTGTTAACACCAAAATCATTGGATGGGAGGAGTGTAACAAATTTTTACTTTTCAAATTTTCGATTATTTGTAGTCTAGTTCCATTTTATCAGTTTTCTTACAGTTAACTCAGTGAGAAAGCGTTTTCCAGTTTGGTTCATAAGTAGTATACTTACATGAATGTTTGTGACACTAAAGGAGTAGGCAGAATCATGTAAACTGCACATTTTTGTGAGATTTCTTTTTGCTTTCATTTGTTTACATTTTTCTCACCTTACTATTGAAGAGCTATCTTGACCTACATTCAATTACTAGTTTTTTCGGTCAATTTCGGCATGATTAAAACCAATGATGATTGGTTTATGTTATATTTATTTAGTTTATACATTTATCGAGTTAATTATACACCAAACATGCATTAATGGTACATTAGATAGCACAGATTGTGAGTTCTAAATGAAGCCAGTTATTTTGCACTATTCATATCCTGATTGCATCATAGTAATTGTACACCAGTCTTGTCCTGTCCAGGGGCCTAAGTATTGCATCAGCCCATTAATCACTTGTTAGGTTCGTGTGCAAAACCTAGTACATGTTATACATGTCGGGGTATAAATAGAGACAACCAGGTGACTCAGTAGGCACTTTCTTGCTGGAACTGAGAGAGGACCGACCTGTGTGCCTCCAGGGATTGATGCTTGATGGACTCTGGCTAATTCTACACATCTATTGATGGACTTAGAAGATTTTCATCCCACATATTGAGGGACTTAGAGGATATTACCCTGGTATACTTAGAGGATCTTAGGCAGATTCGACATACCTTGAGGGACTTAGATGATTATACCCTGGTACACTTAGAGGATCTTAGGCAGATTCGACATACCCGTTGAGGGACTTAGATGATTTTACCCTGATGTACTTAGAGGATCTTAGGCAGATTCGACATACCCGTTGAGGGACTTAGAGGATTTTACCCTGGTATACTTAGAGGATCTTAGGCAGATTCGACATACCTTGAGGGACTTAGATGATTATACCCTGGTACACTTAGAGGATCTTAGGCAGATTCGACATACCCGTTGAGGGACTTTGAGGATATACTTAGAGGATCTTAGATTCGACATACCCGTTGAGGGACTTAGAGGATTTTACCCTGGTATACTTAGAGGATCTTAGGCAGATTCGACATACCCATTGAGGGACTTAGAGGATATTATCCTGGTATACTTAGAGGATCTTAGGCAGATTCGACATACCCGTTGAGGGACTTTGAGGATATACTTAGAGGATCTTAGGCAGATTCGACATACCCGTTGAGGGACTTTGAGGATATACTTAGAGGATCTTAGGCAGATTCTACATATACTGGGAGGCACGTACACAACTTTTGATGAGAAGGAACCTCCACGCACCTCTAGAGATTGATGCCTCAGGGACTTAGACAAATTCTGCATACCATTTGATGGACTTAGAGAATTTTATTACCTTGAGGGACTTAGATGAATTCTGCATACCATTTGATGGACTTAGAGGATTTTTCGGTCGATACACTTAGAAGATATTACCTTGAGGGACTTAGCCAATATTCACCATAGTTGCCTGGAGTTTGATGCCCAGAGGAACTTAGGAATATTCACGTATATATTGAGGGACTTAGCCAATATTCACCATAGTTGCCTGGAGTTTGATGCCCAGAGGAACTTAGGAATATTCACGTATATATTGAGGGACTTAGCCAATATTCCCCAAAGTTGTCTGAAATTTGATGCCCAGAGGAACTTAGGAATATTCACGTATATATTGAGGGACTTAGCCAATATTCACCATAGTTGCCTGGAGTTTGATGCCCAGAGGAACTTAGGAATATTCACGTATATATTGAGGGACTTAGCCAATATTCACCAAAGTTGCCTGAAGTTTGATGCCCAGAGGAACTTAGGAATATTCACGAATATATTGAGGGACTTAGCCAATATTCTCCATAGTTGCCTGAAGTTTGATAGACTTAGAATATTCACCAACTCATTTGATGAACTTAAGTTTATATCTTCAACTTGGTGGACTTAGAATATTCATCGATAATCTGAAGAACTTAGCCGATTCCATACATCTTCAGTTTGATAGACTTAGAATATTTACAGCCCATTTGGTGAACTTATATTATCTTCAACTTGGTGGACTTAGAATATTCATCGATAATCTGAAGAACTTAGCCGATTCAATACATCTTCAGTTTGATAGACTTAGAATATTTACAGCCCATTTGGTGAACTTAGTTTATGTCTTCAACTTGGTGGACTTAGAATATTCATCGATAATCTGAAGGACTTAGCAGATTCTATACATCTTCAGTTTGATAGACTTAGAATATTTACAGCCCATTTGGTGAACTTATATTATCTTCAACTTGGTGGACTTAGAATATTCATCGATAATCTGAAGAACTTAGCCGATTCCATACATCTTCAGTTTGATAGACTTAGAATATTCCCGACTCATTTGATGAACTTAGATTATATCTTCAACTTGGTGGACTTAGAATATTCATCGATAATCTGAAGAACTTAGCAGATTCCATACATCTTCAGTTTGATAGACTTAGAATATTCCCGACTCATTTGATGAACTTAGATTATATCGTCAACTTGGTGGACTTAGAATATTCATCGATAATCTGAAGAACTTAGCAGATTCCATACATCTTCAGTTTGATAGACTTACAGTATTCACAGCCCATTTGATGAACTTAGTTTATGTCTTCAGCTTGGTGGACTTAGAATATTCATCGATAATCTGAAGAACTTAGCAGATTCCATACATCTTCAGTTTGATAGACTTAGAATATTCACCAACTCATTTGATGAACTTAGATTATATCTGTGGACTTAGAATATGCATCGCTCAGCTGATGAAAAACTATATTAGTGATGAACATTTATATATAGAGATAAATATACAAGTATAATTGCATAAAGGACTTATAATTTGCACCTCTGAAACTGAAACTTAGTATCAATTTGTGTTGTATTAATTTTGAGGCGGATGAAGCCAGAATATATATTGTTAAGCTTTCATTAATTATTGTGTCTCTTTATTTTCACACGTACATTTAATGTGTACAACGTATCCCCAAAGTGACCTAGCCTAGTCTAAAAACACCCACACTACCCAAATTAGGCTAGCCGTTACAATATGGTCATTCCTTCTGACGTCATCGCTGAGCCCGGAATTGACCAATGACATGCGCATATTTTATTAGAACGCATTTGGCGTATGTTTCTTCAAGCTCGCTGATTGGTGGAAGAAAGGTCAGTGCGTCTAGGTCAAAAGTAATTTATACCCAAACTGTCACCGGTACCCGTCGTGGAGGCGGGGCTACTAAACTGAAATATAGTCTCTACTAGGCAGAGTGTAGTTTAACTAGACTCTGCGCGCAGGGTATAGTCAAGCAGAAAAGGCAATGTTTTCAGTTCTTAGTAGATGCAACAAATTTGCATTACCTCTTAAAACACAGTTGCATTTATTCGACACCCTAGTTCAGCCAATATTAATGTATGGTGCTGAGATATGAGGAATGACAGATAACAAACTGATTGAAAAACTACATCTTAAATTCCTAAAATATATTCTTAGGGTTAAGAAAACAACTCCAAACTATATGGTTTATGAGGAACTTGGCAGATTTCCTCTATATATAAAGTCTAACACATGTATCTTGAAATTTTGGTATAAATTAGCAACAAGTAGCTCTGGCAGTTTAAAAATGAGCGAAAAAAATGTACAAATTATGTAACAATATGTATGACAGAAATGTATTTTCCTCAAATTGGTTTACCTATGTGAAAAACACATTAAACAATCTCGGCATGTCAAATGTTTGGTTAAATCCAAAGTCAGTTAGTTATGCAGTTTATCAAAAAAGTAAAACTCAGGATGCAAGATCAGTTTTTACAAAAATGGAATAGTGACATGACAGTCAGTACTAAAAGTTACAACTATTAAATATTTAAAACAGAATTTTTGTTTGAACAGTATTTAGACTGTATGCCAGATAATTATGTACCGATTGTGTAATAATAAACTCCAAGTTGAAAGAGGACGTTACAACAATATTCCAAGGGGAAATAGGTTTTGTGATTTATGTGGTAAAGGAATAAGTGATGAATTTCATGTCATTTTAGAATGCAAAGCTTTAAGTTATATTAGAAAAAGGTACCTTCCTAAATGTAATTTGACAAATCCAAACACACAGAAGTTTGAGAAATTACTGAACTCAAACAAAAATATACTTATTAAACTTTGTAAATTTTTAATCGAGGCTGGGCAAAAAAATGTACATTTATTATAATGTTATCTTAATATTTGTTACTGTATTAGACTATTAGTTAAGTTTATCTTTTGTACTCTAAAGGGTGAATTGAGAAATCAATAAATAAAATAAAATAAGTATCAGCGGTTGGGATATGTAAAAAAAAAATTAGCATTTTATATATAATCGATAAATGATAACGTTTTTATTCATCATCTGGAAAAATTATAAAATCATTCTAGTCGAAGCATGCCAGTTCGTCTTTTAAAAAAAGTAAAAAAATAACATTACTTTGTTTGGTTTATCAAAAAAATGTGAAAGAGCATTTTAAGAATTTAAGATTATCCTGATAAAATCATTCGGTATAAAAACGCGTCTATGAAACACACATTCTCAACTTTGTATAGTAATTATATAATATAGTTCTTACCTGCTTTGTATAGTACAACTTGAAGGTAGAATTTCTTTCAGAAATCTTTGAAAGTTGGTACACTTATTACACTATATATACTATGTGAATATATTAATAACCTCTGAATCGTACTACCATCTATTATCTTTAGCATCGATCTATTAACGATTCAAAGTTCAGCTGTTTAATTAGTATTCTAATATCACAATATCATTTCAAAGTTTTGCGTTGCAATGTGCACATTGCAGCTGTATTTTCTTTCTTACATTCTGGTTTATCAATTAGTCGAAAATGTTATTATTAAATATAATAGCGTAGTTTACCAGACACAGTCACTGTTTGACACATTGCAGTAGTATTTGGGATATCATGGCTCATTATTCAACAATTGGAATATTTCTTTAAAATTTATTAATCAAAATCATAAGGGTTATGTACTTGGAGGTTTTGGATATGGGTCTTATTCAGAAGGATATATGCATATCTACCTGGGGGACCAAAGGTAGATGTGCGTATCTCACAAGGGATAAACCCCATATCCAAACCGACCGTACATCATGCTTTATCCTATACCCAGTGAAGTTTTCCAAAATGCACGGATTTGTAGCACTGCTTCTAGATTACTGAGGGGATGTTGAAATCCATAAACAAAAAACGCAACAACCAAATAAATTGTAATTCCATAACAAGAAACAAGCGGGGACCGCATCAATTTGGTGATATCAATTTCATTTACTCTATCATGAAGGCATGTAACTCCATGGAACCAATACAGTCATGATTATTTTACATATTACTGATTGAATAGAATAACAGTCAATATGTAGTAAAGGGATACATTTCAAAAACAGACATAAAATGCACCAATCTCATCTGTTTAGCTTTGAATGAATGTCAAATGCTACTAACTAAATCTCATTTCAGCATGGTGGATAGCAAAATTTCTTTGTGGCATGTATTGGCTTTGTTCAATGTGGTTTTATTGCCAAAATCCTGTCCTTTTTTGTACATGACTGGCAGACATGACAATCAAGTCACATTTGAAGTGAAAATCTTTTGAACACCATTTTCTTACTGAAACCTGGCGTAGTTTTGAAGATTTCACAACAGAAAATGAATGGACATCCAAATCTTCTATATAGTCTATGGTTTAAATTTGTCTTACTATAACAACAACCATTGTTATGTAACCATGACATATTGTTATAGTCTTCAACTTTTTGTTGATGGTGGTTGACGTTTGGTGTCTGTAACAGATGACAGGTAGCGACATTTTGCATGTTAATGCTATGTATGAAATTCTGTTTGAAACCTCACTTTACAAATATAAAATAAATCAAATATTTTTTTTACTTTTATTCATTTATTTTTAAGCACTTGGTTATACATTGATTGATAAGGCACTTTTATGAACATCCATCAACAGGGCACTGTTTCATATCATTTATTGTACAACAATATGCCTCTAGTCTAAAATCCTCAGGGCCTACCCACGTGCCCTGTCACTATAAAACTAAAATACCTCCAAATTTTCAAAAATCCTTAATGTCAGGGCCATTGTTTTGGGCCACACTATAATTGTTAAGAAATGTCATAATATCAATTGACTTTATTATGAAGTAAACTGTAAGAATGACCAAAATGACTATATTATACATGTTATAGGTAATCCAAGTTATAACATAATATATAAATTCATCTCTTCAGATGCTTGATTACTACCTTTTCTATAAAATGGGTGTACAGTTAAACCAATCCGAACAAAAGTGTTTGGATTAGTGAGTGTTCAGATTTTTTCTTAATACGTAGGTCTATGGGAGATAATAAAATTGGAAAGTGTTCACATAGAGAGGTAACAAAGGATCATGTCAATATTTCAATTTTATTTTGAATGATTAACTGACTCCCTAAATCCCCCCCCCCTATAGAGAAATTGGAACATTTAATGTTTTTTCATATTAGAGTCATTCTCTCTAAAAATCAAAATGTCCCCAGTACCATATGTCATTTAATTATTGTTTATGAGGGTATATCGTAGCCTTGCCCAAGTCGGTATTTTTTTACTTATCTGATCTTGAATTATTACCGCCGGTCATAATAGAAATCAAGATAAGTAAAAGAGACCGACTTGGGCAAGGCTAGGTATATCGTAATACATTGACATTCTCCCCAAATGTAAAAACTGAATACCCTAAAATCCCTTCATTAAATTCTAATCACTTGTTCTTCTAAAATAAAAAACATCTTTTAATTTTTTCTGTAGATTTGAGAGAAATCTAATTACCAAGTTCATCCAAAAAGTCTCTATGCTCTCTAGTATAGACTGAAAGTCAATCATATTTGAATCTGGAACACAGTTTTCAAATCAAGGGAATTCCTTAGAAAGAGCATTTGCTAGCACTTCAAACTATCTATACCCCATTTCTATCTAACAGGAATTTTGAACTTTCCCAGTCCCTTCAAAAACAATTTTTATCCAACAGATTCTCAACATAACCAAACTAGAAAATGGCAACTCCACGGAGTAGCGAATCCCAACGAACACTATATAAATCATCAATCTGTACAGTCACAATGGAATATACTCTTACCTTCAATAAATATTTTAAATCATTGTAGTATCATGTAACCATACTTTCAAGATAACTTTAAGTTATGGCGAATTTCTGCTCTAGTCAGCCATTTTGAATTTTTAGAGGCGCAAATCAGAAAAAAAACAATGCCATAATTGTGATCTACTCTGAAATTCCTTCAATTTGAGTATAATATAGCCATACTTTTAAGAGATCAGAAAACAATTGCGAAATCCCGCATTAGGCAGCCATTTTGAATTTTTTGAGGCCCAAATCAGAAAAACTTTACAATATTTGCAATCTACTCTAAATTGCCTTTCATTTGAGTATAATAAAGCTATATTTCAAAAACATCTCAAAATTAACGCAAATTCCTGTTTTCCTAATCCCCCATTTACGGCCCCTGGGGGTCAGGGTGAAAAACCTGGGATATATGTGAAATAGATATATGTTGTTAATATACTACCAAAATTTCAAATAATAATATTTATTATTTTGGTTTAAAATGAAAAACATAAGATTTTTGCGACCATCTTGAAAAACTTGCGTAAAACTGTACACCAATATACATCTTTCCACCAAATATGAAAAAAAATTGTCAACTAGTATTCGAGTTATCTTCTGGACAGACGGACGGACTGACTGACTGACTGACTGACTGACTGACTGACTGACTGACTGACTGACTGACTGACGGACTGACTGACTGACGGACTGACAGACTGACGGACTGACGGACGGACGGAGGGCTTCACTATATCCCTACAGAACTTCGTTCGTTGGGATAATGATGTTGAATCACCAGATCACTTTAGGGTTCCAGCATGGTAACTCATGATTAAATTAACATTCAGAAGTTGAGTTGTATGCAGACAGAAATGAGACATATGCCAAGATTTAAGCTAACATATCAACTAATGAAAGGTATCTAATGGCTTACCATGCTTAAACCAGTCCACACAAAGCAAATGTGTGCAAAAGTAATCTTAAAGTTTTATTCGTTCATCTGTATACTATATGTAAGTCTAGGTCATAGGGTGCCCTGCTCTATAAATTCACTTTAAATACAACTCATTATTTTATACATAAAATTATTTTGTACATACAATTCTCTCACAGCCACCTGCAGTAACAGTTAAGTATTAAAATACTTCATGAGGATCATTCATTCTATGCTAACATATTTTGAAGCAGATGAAACATTAGCAAATGACAAAATGTATATTGAGTCAATGAATTTTTTACAGAATGCTATACATAAGATCATTTGCGAAGATACAGGGTGAGCCAAAAAATATGTTTTGTAAAATGGCCATAAAAGTGTGACCATTTGGAATAGACCAATGAAACTTAGTTGATGAAAGAACGATGAACGTAGTTTGATTTGGCCAAATATGACTTCAAACCCTTACCAGATTACTGAGTTATTAAGATTTGTTTGGGCTACCATTTTGGTTCACCCTGTAATGTATCAAAAATGTATGGTCCCCATGAAATCTAATTCTGGATATGAACTCACTACATTTGTACCTTTGTTGTAAGTTCAACAATTCACAATTATGATTTTGCACATTTCCCTATATTTAATTTACATCAATTTACGAAAATAAATTAATACAAGCAATTATGTAGTGTATACTATGTATACTATTTGACACATTTGTGTATATAATGTTATGTGCCTTAGTGAACATGTTATGGTGTATATTATCTGTGACCCACATCAAATTGAACACATTTGACATTAGTCACAAATAAGAGATGTCCAGAATGTTTCTTTTATCTTTTAAAAGAAACTTTCTGAACAACAAGAAACCACAAGTTGGCACACACAAAAATAAGAAATTATCACTATTTTATAGAATAATAACAACTTCATCTTTAAACTAAAATCTCTATGATATTTTTATGGAATAGAAGAATTTTCACAAATGAATAATACAGTAATTAATTTGGAATGGACTCAAGCCATTGCAAAACTACATGTACTGTACATCATCCAAATGAAAAAGATGACACACAATCTGACACTGTCACAGTTAACAAGACATCATTCATAAAATATCTTTAAAACATCTTTATAAACTGTAAACATATACTGATATAGCCTAAAAATGGTGATCTGCCGCAATAAGATATAAGAGACAACACAGTGTATGTAGCACCATCTATTGATAGAGATGTTTTCATATCAATACTGACTTCTACTTTCCCATATGGCTCAACTTACTAAAAACTTTATTTTACAACAATTGGAAATCTTTGAGAAGCCTGCTTTTGATTCATAAAAACGATACATGACAATGTTTTTAAATAAATTAGCATAGAACACACTAGCACCAAAATATTGGATACATGTTTTGCACTGTGTCGCAAGGTAACATTTTGACAGTATTATTTGAAACATTCAAAGTGACTCAAGCCATGTTATGCTTCAATTTATTTACGTTTAACATACAGGGTGACACAAAACTGCAACCATTTAATTTTGAAAAACCTTAATGACAATGGAATTCTCATAATTCTTTCTATCTTTATAGAGTGTTCAATGTACAAAATAGTGCATTCATATATACTAGAGCTATAGTATGCATCTACTAAGCTTTGAGATTTAAATATATAATGGTTTGACAAGGCATTAGAGTGTTGTATTTTTGTGTCACCTAGTAACCGTGTTGCCTAAATTGCAAAACCATACATTGCTTCAAAAACTGAATATTTCTGACTGATTACACATACTTGTATACAATGTTTCTTGTGATTTTGACATTATCTCATTATGTACAATACTAAAACAATGATTCTGCTTGTACAAAATTCCTTACAGGATTCAAAGTCAACTCTCTCACTGGATCTTAAGTTTCTATTTAAATAACCCATACTTTTACAGTAATTCACACACACTAAAAATAGATTTCTAATTTTTTTGTGCTTTTCGTTTCCATAGCCATATTTGCCTGTCAACTCCTGTGCATGGCTGCATTGAGAGCTTTTGTCCGTCTATGGAGATCTCCATACATTTGTTGGTATTCACATGCTTAATGGTGTTATCCTGGAATCATACATATAATATACCAATATAATATTTTATAAGAAATATAGACCGAAGAGCAGGTATTCAATTGACGAATAAATACCGCGAGGCAAGGCACAAACGTTTTCGAAAGCTTTTGTGCCTAGCCCTAAGGTATTTATTACTCGATATAATACCTGATCTATTACAATTTGAGCATGAAAACTCACTAAAATTTTGCAAAATTGTCATTTCATTTCCTACTTCAAGAAATAAATATCGTTGACTTTGTTCACAGTCTATAGAAGTTTGTGAATACAGTCATGTTCGAAGCATCTTTATATTAAGCTATTTGTGCATTTCCAAAAGTGATAACTTGAGGAACATACTTTAAGTATGTTGTGATTTTATGAATTTGGATGAGACTCATTTGGTGAATTAATTCTACAAAGGCAATAATTCCAACTGAGAAACAATCGTAAATTGTAAATGTCCTCATCATGTCCTCATCTCATACCAGGAAACATCCCTGAAGATTTCAAGACAATTGTTAAGCAGATTTGCCAGGAAATGTGCAACAATAAAAAGTGGGACAACACAAACCTCAAAATGAGATGGCACAGTTAAATAAAACACAGAAAGAAATGTCTGAAAATTAACTGAACAAAAACTTACTACTCCGTATATCCACTCCTGGTTTCCTCGTTGACCGTGACATGGATATATCATTACTTCCTGTCCCGCATAGTCTATACAGCCCTCGTCACGACGTATCTCATTCTCTTTACTTAACATCCAATACTGAAACATAATAACAGGAAATATTAGAGATATTTTATTCATTTCTAAATAATATGACTTTGGACAACGTGTTCTTCATTCACATGGCCATGTGACTTATTTCACGACACTTCTGTCAAAAACATGAATGAAATTACTATTTCCAAATATGTGCATCTATTTTTCTCTTATCCACTATTATCATCTTGTCAACAAACGCTTTGCATATAAGGGTTTTACAGTTCATCGTGCTACATCATGTAACAAGTAATACGATGTATTATGTCACATATAATCTGTCACTTGGAATCCCATAATCATATGTGTTGAAAGATCAAACTTTTTAAGAAGTCATCTATTTAATGAGGATCATGCGTGTGATTTGTGGGATTCATAGATTCGCCAAATACATAGATGGCACTAATGACTATTTTCAGTGAATAAATATTTAGAGATTAGGATTGTGTCTCTAACATTGACAGCTGTGATAAAAAGAATTCACTTGGGGTGGGGTAAATTATGTTGCCATTTCATAAAATGTTGATATAGTAACCAATAATAATAATGAGCAATAAATCAACATTTTCTTGATAACCAACACCAAAACTGAACAAAATAAATAATTTTCCTCAACTGTTGGGACATCATCCTGTTTTATTCAAACAACATGTGCAATACTAATTGATAATAAAAAAATATTTGACCCTTTGTGCACGCTAGATGAAAGCATGGATGGGACAGAAGAACACCAGGGAATATCTGGGCCTGGGGTTAAGGCAAAGTAAATGACTAAAACTTGAAATAAAAAAGAATGTAAGATGGGAAATGAGCCGTGACATTGGGAGTAAACATCACAAGGTTGTTGGGTCAGTTATTTCCTGTCCCCTCAAGATCCAGGTATGGAATAAAAATTCTAAAGCTAGTATGTCCTCCAAATGGCCTTCAAGTTGATGGCCTGCCCCAGAATGATGAAATGTTAATTTTACCTGTGGACTAGTAGGCCTTAATGCACGCTGCTTATGGTAATGAAAAATAATCTCTAATTTTAAGAAAATATCTCAAAGGTCTTTATCCTCTGGAAGCTTGAGGAAACTTATAACATTATAAAGTTTCATAAAATTAAACTGTAAATGGAGCTTTATGTAAAGTACACAAAAAATTATGAATCTAAATTAACTTTTAAAAAATATTTTATAAAAATCAGGACATGTGAAACAAAATATATACTAATAGTATAGAATATATCATAATATGATGGGTAAGTTAAACTATAATATGACAGGGGTTTGCAGAATATATAGTCTACAGTATCAATTAAATGATCTGTCAAAGGTTATTTAAAATGAAACCAACACTTTCAAATAAATTGATCATTTTCTTTATTCCTACCATTCAGTTCCAAAGGAGCATGTAGGTTATCGCAAACAATTTCAGACGATTCTAACTTGAAGTATGAATATTTTCTGATCATGAACATGGCTGGGTGTTTGATTTTCTATGTTTGAATTTCCCCTTTAAGGAACCTTTAGACAGATGCCTCCTATGCTTGCCTCACCTGATTGCCTCCCATGTTGTGGCACTGCCACATTTTGATTGGCTTGTTCATAGAGTTGGAATCAACTGCACTGTCCAGGCACCATGGAGAGTGTTTATTACGCACCTAGAAAGATTTGGGTGTAAATGAGTTTGTATCAACACTATACAATATCTAAGATAGAACAATCCACCAATTATGTATAAAATTGTTGTTACAACTTGATTCAGTGCTTGATATTAAAATGTGGGCTGAATAAAGCATACAAATATCTGAAGTTCTTCCTAAATTCTGAAATTCCTAAATTGAGAAAATTGCATTTAGGGAGAATAACACTTATTATTTAGCCAGAAAAATAGTAACAATGTTTTAAGTTATCTCGTATCTTTTATGAAAACAAACGCATCAAAATGTCACCATGGTAACATACCTCTCCAGAAGCCACAGCTTCACCAGGAATGAATAATTCTGGATATACATTTTTGACATACCAGTCAAAACTTTTACAATTTAATCTTTTTCTTAAAGCTTTTCTGGCTGAGACATCTCCAAAATCTCCCTACAAAAGAGAAATAAGTGTGATTTGACATAGAATATAAATATGAAGACAATTACTGGCATTGACAACAACAAAAGTTCATCACATATCATTCTATACAATGTAATTTGATTGATTTTGATAGGGTACTCTCACTTACCAGATCATAATTAAATCTTTCATAATAATAATTTTTATATTCATCCATCCACACTTCAGCAAGTCGGACAGAATTCTTTTTGACAACATTTACTCCCGTTTTCCAAGAGTAAGGGCTGCGTTTACGGAAGATATGTCCTACATGGGAGCAGGGTGCAATCTCTAATGTACCACCACACATCCAAATCTGCAAATAAGACACAAAAAGTGGGTGAAAAAATGTGATATGCAAAAATCAAAAAGAAATTAGAAATTTTGATTCCAACAAAGGATGGGTATCGATATGGTGAATTTTTTGAATTTTGAAAACATGTTTCTCTTAAACCAGTCATCAAAAAAATTTAAAAGTTGGGTTTACTAAAAAAAATTTAATTTTAATTTCAATAAATTTCACAGATCTGTGCATTACTTTCAAAGGTTGACACAAATTAATCATCCTTGAGTGTTTATTAGAAAGTTTTAAAGTTGGCAACAGATTTAAAATACATTTTCAAATAGGTGGAAAAATTAAAAATATTCAATAAATATCACATTAACAAGAATTGAATCCTTACCCTAAAAGAAAGTTCAAGATTTTCCCCTCCCCATATGTCCATTCCAGGATCATATGTACCTAGCTCCTCAAAGTATTCCCTGCTGATGGAGAACAACCCTCCAGCCATGGTAGGTGACCTAAAATAAAGGACATATACAATAACATTCTTCTCTTACTCTTACTTCATAAATCTATTAATGATAAGTGAAGTTTGATTCACTTAATGATGTTCACTGGTTGGTAACTTTTTCAGGTTTTACGACATTTTGTTAAAGCATGACTGTTGGCTATACCATCCCCAGAGTAAAACTTTAAATCATTTCCTTGTGTTATTATTTTTGAACCAGAAAGTTATTTTTCCAAAATGCTTGTGTCACTTTATTATCTAATCTCATGTAAAAATTCAACATTTTCCCAAACTTAAGTGATTGTTTTATTGAAATGTCCTTTAAAATCAAAAGTATGAAAATTGTATGAATAAACAATGATTTAGAATAATGAATTAACTCCTAGATTTAATTTGCTTACAAATATACATTTAATATCAAATAAAAAATAACCTGCCCAAATTATGAAAGAAATTAAGGTTTCACTTCTATAAAAGAAAGGATCAGGTAGCATAGGGAACTATATAGCAATGACTTCATCAGTATTCCTCACAGGTGAATTCTCATGCTATTCATAGATGTCACATAACAATTTCTACCTGATAGGGGCCACCTCAGATTTACGCCTTGCTCTCTCTTTAGCTGGGATACCATGCCAGTTAAACTGCAGGCCCCAGTCGAACCCACCAATGCTGGTAGACTTAGCGCTACCATGCTGATACTGCAAGTTATCATCTGATATGACATCAATGACGGGACAAACTACGTTTCTCTTATCCTCGGCTATGCGGTCTAACAGGGGTTCCAACCACCCTGAAGAAAAGAGAGGGGTGGATATAAGATGGGATCTAGGCTAAGAATAAAACATAATAATACTTTATAAACTAAAAATACACTCCAGGGAGATGGTCCGGGAAGGAGGATGGGATACAAATAACTCAAATCTATTCATATTTGACAAAGTGGCAAATGAAACTCCATAACTGGCAAATTGAATTATTTTTGACATGAATGAAATATATGCATTCTGGAAGAAAACAAACACCGCTGTTTATGCAATATCCCTGAAAAGTCCTGCAACATGCATATCTCAAGATAAGTGAGACAAAATCAAAAGGATCTAGTATGTTCCTCTAAAAGAAGAAGTCTATATTCCTGCTGTCTGTTCTCTCCCTTTCCCTCTGCTATGGGGTAGGGGAGGGGCACTGGTGTAAATGTAGCAGACCACATGGGTCATATTCCCCATTGCCCATGGTTTTATTTCACTTTATAAGAAGCTACAACAGACAATCAATATATATGCCATAGTATTAAAAACAGGTGACTAACAGGAATACACTGGTGGTTGTGAAATGGTCATAAAGCATGGCAGACATGACATTACATGGATTCACATGTACACACAGCCTTTTGGCACATCACTGCAGCCTAAAATCTAGCTTTTAATGATAGAGATGCAACTCCTGAATCAGAAACTTGAGTTATTACAGCCTGGACAATTGGGCACTTTAATTAAATACATGTAGCTAGTGTTACTTATCAGCAAACAAAATGGAAAGGCTAATTTTGTGACTCTTCTAAGGGGCAGTTTAATATAAGAGTTAATTGGTAAAAATTGCTTACAATGCAAGTTAAAAAGTCAGCATTGGAACAATATTGTTTCAAAGATTCCTCAAGCCCAGACTACAGTAGTGAGTTGAACTCAAGCTGCACTTTACAGGTAAGTTGCACCTCTAACAAACAATTGTAATCTGAACCTGATTGGATCAGAAATCCTCTTCCTGTAGCGCTTCCCATGTACACCAACTTTAACATAATTCCAGTTGAAAATGAGATCCCAGTTAAATATTCCAATAGGTGCACTCTTGGCTGGGAAAGGTGTATACGCCATAGTGTCATCACTTATAGAGTCAATCATTGGTGTAACAACATTACTTTTATCAACAGCGATACGATCCAATAATGGTTCAAGCCAGCCTAAAATGAATATGTGTGCATATTGTCATATTACCGAAAGATCTAGATGGTCAATTTCCTTTTTTATAATTTGTCTGAATTAAATCTACAAAATAAAAATAAAACTTTGTGTAAAAGTTTCTGTATCAATCAGGACTCCACCAGTTTTACTAAATGCTCTCAGTAATAAAAAGAAGTGAGACGCAATGCAAAATTTCCAAGGATGCAATATGTAAAAATTATAGGTGCATGAAAGGGGAGAAAGGAGCATAGTGAAATATAGCATACTGAAATCCCCCATTATATAAGCACAACACATATTTACACCAAGGACCAATGGGAAAGATATATCCTCTTAGCAGAAGTACCCTAGAAGACAGATTTTATCCAATTATTGAAAATATAAAAAAATAATAGTGTCACTGCTAAAGAAGACTGAATTCTAATAACATGAGAGGTTGGAGGAGACATCATAACTTCTATGAATACTGAAGTAACAAATCATGGAATTCCAACTACTATGTGCACCTTATTGGATCAGTGACCCTTTCCCTGTTTCTTATTCCAGGTTCATGTAGTAAAATAGACTTCCATTTGAAAGTAAGATCCCAGTTAAATATCCCAAACGCTGTCTCTCTGCCTGAGGTATGTCCATATGCCATTGTTTTATCACTTATAGTGTCAATCATGGGGGCCACCACTACAGTTTTATCAACAGCAATTCTATCTAGTAAAGGTTCAAGCCAACCTATAATATATGTATGAATATGTGGTCTGATTATCAGAATGTTTGATGGAGTCATCTTCCTTTGGTGTTTATATAATAGAAAGAGTTGTACAGTTTTGGTGATCTATAATCTACAAAAGAAAAGGTCCATATTATATATCAGTAAATTCTATATGTGTATATGACCTCCTCTCCCAAAGATTCGCCCAATGCTCCAGAGAAAAAATACATTTTTTTCATGGATATGCAATGCATGAAATCATGAAGATGCAGACTGTTAATGAATGAAACTTAAGACGAATGCAGATAAATCCTAGAGGGAACATACAGCTAAGTACAAACAAGAACAACTGGAAAACTGAAGAGATCATAACAGGACAGAACAAAAGGTACATAAGCTTGGAAGGAGTGGAGTAAATAACATCTAGTAATGCTAATTAAAGTATTCTGGAAAACCCCGTTAATGTTAGCACCTTATTGGATCTGTGAATTTCTCTCGATATCTTAGTCCAGGTTTATGTAGTTTAAGAGGTGCCCAATTGAAAACTAGATTCAAGTTGAATATCCCGATTGATGCAAAGACTTTTGTATATTCCAATGTTTCATCACTTATTGTGTCAATCGTAGGGGCCACTACATTTGTTTTATCAGTTGCGATTCTATCAAGTAATGGCTCAAGCCAACCTAAAATAAACATTTGTAAATAAGTCAAATAGATAAATATTGAAATTGCTATAATATGATCATTTTCCATTGTTATGATATTCGTGCAACCAAACTTATTTCTTTTTGGCTTTGATGTTTCTCCTATCTACAAATCAAAAGATAATGTTAATTCTACTATAAGAAATATGTATGATCTCTCTCTTTACCTGATTAAATCCCAGAAAACAATTTTTTCATGAAAACGACAAATCAATGGGAAACACTGTAAATAAACTAGCCAAACTAAAGAAGTCTAAATTGGAATTGGTATATAAGGAAAAGAGGGCACAAGAAACATCTAGAAGAAGTGGAATTATATATCCTAAAATGAGAATTATTACTTGCACCTTATTGGATCTGAGACTTTCTCTCGGTATCTTAGTCCAGGTTGATGTAGTTTAACAGGTGCCCAGGTGAAAACTAGATCCCAATTAAATATCCCAATTGATGTAGCCCTTGCTGATCCATGCGTAAAGTGCAAATCTTCATCACCTATAGCCTCAATAATCGGGCAAACTACATTTGTTTTATCAGTTGCGATTCTATCTAGTAATGGCTCAAGCCAACCTAGAATAACATTTGCGAATACAGGTCAAATAAATGCATGAATATTGCAATTACTAAATGATCATTTTTTATTGGTAATGATTTTCTAATTTTAGGCTTTGACATTTCCCACATCTACAAAAGAAAAAGCTTAATATTAATTCTAGTCTCAGAGGAATATACGATCTTGCACCTCTCTGATTTAACTGATGACACCGCAGAAAGCAAATTTATTGGGCTTTATTTCTTAAAATGTTAACCAGAAATGAATGGAAAATACTGTAAACTAACCAAACCAAAGAGGTCTAAATGGGAATGGGTATACATGTATAAGGAAAAGAGGGAACAAAACAACGTAACCAGAAATGAATGGAAAATACTGTAAACTAACCAAACTAAAGAGGTCTAAATGTGTAAGAAAAAGAGGGAACAAAAAAAAACATCGAGAAGAAGTGGGAAAATATCCCAAATTCATAATTTTTGTTTGCACCTTATCGGATCTGAGACCTTTTCCCGATATCTCAGTCCAGGTTGATGTACCTTAAGAGGTGCCCAATTGAAAACTAGATCCCAGTTAAATATCCCAATTGATGTAGTTCTGGCTGATCTATACGTGAGTTGCAGATCTTCATCACTTATAGTCTCGATTATCGGACAAACTACATTTGTTTTGTCAGTTGCGATTCGATCTAGTAATGGCTCCAGCCAGCCTAAATTATACATGTTTATAATATAGATGTCATGTTATTATTCAAATTTGCTAAGATAACTGTAGAAAATTGGGAATTCCTTGATCTAAAGACAATCTAAAAAATAAAGTCTGGTGAAAATTCCTGTATGTGTACATTGTACATGTATACATATTTCAGATGTCTTCCCCGGATGTCTCCCTCTGATTTTTCCATTCTTGCCTAAAATGAACAAACTCAAAGCTATCTGAAAGCACCTTCAAAATCTTCAAATGGAACCATCAAATTCCAGACACCAACATGATCTCCCTCAAATACACCTGATGCCCTCGGGGAAACAAATTGCATAGAATCATAATAGGGATACAGTAACCTACCAATTAATCAAACTACTGAAGTCATTGGTACAGAAGAGGAGAATGACTTGGCATCATAACATAAACATGAAAAACATGCAAAATAAACTATCCTAAAATTCTAATAATTAGAAATATGGCGTGTGTGTATTTGCACCTTATTGGATCAGTGACCTTTTCCCTATATCTCAGTCCAGGTTCTTGAAGTCTAACAGTTTTCCAAGTGAAAATAAGGTCCCAGTTAAAAGCACCAAATGGTGAAGTTCGGCCCGAGAAACTCGTAATACTTAGATCTTCATCACTTATATTGTCAATCATTGGAGTCACAACATTTTTTTTGTCAGCAGCAATTCGATCAAGTAATGGCTCAAGCCAACCTAAATAAACAAGGTTCATAAAAAAGTTAATTTTCTTGAAATGCCAATTATTAGTTGCATCTAACTGGATCTGAGTAACATTCTCCATATATCTGAATCAACCCAACCTATAAGACAGTAAGTTGGCCTGAGAGCAATGATTTGACCTCATTCAATCACTGAAGCAAGCCTGAAATATGAAAAGCCTGAAATAAACAAATGTGCATTTTACCCAACCTATAAGACAGTAAGTTGGTCTGAGAGCAATGATTTGACCTCATTCAATCACTGAAGCAAGCCTGAAATATGAAAAGCCTGAAATAAACAAATGTGCATTTTACCCAACCTATAAGACAGTAAGTTGGCCTGAGAGCAATGATTTGACCTCATTCAATCACTGAAGCAAGCCTGAAATATGAAAAGCCTGAAATAAACAAATGTGCATTTTACCCAACCTATAAGACAGTAAGTTGGTCTGAGAGCAATGATTTGACCTCATTCAATCACTGAAGCAAGCCTGAAATATGAAAAGCCTGAAATAAACAAATGTGCATTTTACCCAACCTATAAGACAGTAAGTTGGTCTGAGAGCAATGATTTGACCTCATTCAATCACTGAAGCAAGCCTGAAATATGAAAAGCCTGAAATAAGCAAATGTGCATTTTACCCAACCTATAAGACAGTAAGTTGGTCTGAGAGCAATGATTTGACCTCATTCAATCACTGAAGCAAGCCTGAAATATGAAAAGCCTGAAATAAGCAAATGTGCATTTTACCCAACCTATAAGACAGTAAGTTGGTCTGAGAGCAATGATTTGACCTCATTCAATCACTGAAGCAAGCCTGAAATATGAAAAGCCTGAAATAAACAAATGTGCATTTTACCCAACCTATAAGACAGTAAGTTGGTCAAGCATGGGAATCCAATCCCAATGGGTCCATTCTGATATGAAGTATGCAATTTAAACTGAAAACAATTACAAAGCACATTTTATCGAAACATTTACTACAGACATACGATTTTTTCATTTTTTCCATGGATTCTTTATTTCATACTTCAGATCAACCTCACTGGGAAATCAATTCATAAACCAATCATTGGTTTGTAGTTTTAAATGCTGAAAAGGAGGGATATATTAAAAATCCTGGATAGATGAATGCCTAAAGTAGACCTATTACATTAAGACACAGATTCTTTCACTAGTCCTTACCTTTAGTGCATTCACAGTGAGAGTCGAGATAAGTGAGAACAGAGCCGATGGCATGTGAGGCTCCCAGAAGTCTGGCACGGATGAGACCCTCTCGCTTCTTTGTGCGTACAACCCTTGCCTTTCCCTTGAATTGGTCAAGTAGGTAATTGTTGAGTTTCTCTTTAAGATGAGCTGGAATGGTAGAAAATAAAATATAAGTTAAGTACTAACTAAGTTACCATACTAACTTTTGTAGAATAACAAGAAATCAGTTGTATACGTGGATACAAGAAATTTTAATAGTGTGCTTTATTTCGATAGTGTTCCAAATCTAAGGAATTGTATCAATCTATTAGGAAATTTTCTCAGGATTCCGAATCTGAAATCGAAATTTATATAATCTCTTTTGAATTTCAAATAAGTTAAAACAGTATAAAAAGACTTTAAAAAGTCAGTAAACGTAAAAGTTTTGAGTGTCAAAGGTCAGGGTCAAAATCCAAGTCAAATTCATGTTTCCAAAATTTTCAATTTTCTTTCTAATCTTTTAGAATATCTTGTTAGTAATAATTTTCTAAGTTCAGCCAAGGATATCAAATGATTCCCCCACTCTATGTCTCAATGAATATTTTACCAATCAATTCTAATTAATTAATTAAGGGTAAATTCAAGGTGTTTCAAATCCATCGATATTGGTATCAATTTATTTGGAAATTTTCTCAGGATTCTGAATCCGAAATCAATATTGAGATTTGACTTCCGATTGACTTACATTGAGTTTTTACAAGTAAAAAATAAATTATGTTCTTTCTCATTTTCTCATTAATATCAGAAGTCAAAATTGTTTTTTAAATAAAAAGTCTGAATCTGGAGTCTTCAATTGAACTTTCTACAATTTCACCAATCTAGTTTTAATTGGCATTATTACCACTTTGCCGGGCCAGTTCTAGGGGTTTTAGTGCTAGTTTAGAAGGCGTTTATTTTACTATATCGACCTGAGAAATGTGTGACGTCATAGTGGTGGTCCATATGGACCGGTCTAGAATATATTCTGGACCGGCAATTTTCCCCGGGAAATTAGATATCGTTCAAAGCGTAAGATTTTCTTGCTGTTTCAGTCCTGTCCGTTAACGGTGGTAATAATACTAATAACGTCATTTCTGCGAGCGATATAGTGAAATATTGGACCTTGGGCCTTCGGCCCTTGGTCCAATATTTCACTATATCGCCCTTAGAAATGACGTTATTGTACTATTGAGCATAAATAAAATAAAAGAGTTGTTAATTTTATCAATTAATCATGTTCACAGACAACTGACACCTATACAGGTATATACACATATGATAAATCATTTCACTGTATTAACTCATTGCTGGCCAAAGCTATTTTAGAGGTTTTCTGCTGGTGACTGGCCATTTTTTGCATGTTTTTATATTAAGCATAATATAAAATGTTATAAAATCACAAAAAGTGAAATAACTTTTCTTGTATAGACATATTTTAATTTGCTTAACTAATAGATACATAAGGGTGATATGAAAATTGAACAACTAAAACTGATAATATTTCAGTTAAAGGGAACTTTTTACTATATCCCTATCTGACCCGAATGAGCAACCTGGTGGTGAAACTGGTAACTACCTACTCACATCTGAGTTATTGCACCCAACCATGTTCCCCTAGTGACCCTTACAATATTTTGTAAGATTATTGCGTGACCATCATTGGACAGCGCCCCAAGATGTCTCAGGGTTGGTCAGATATGATTATGATTTCATAGACAAAATATCTCGGGTTGGTCAGCGATGAGTTAATCGAGATTTCAAAATATAAACTGCTGTTAGTTCAGACTTCATGAGTTAACAGATGTAATGTGCAAGTCATTGATTTATCAAAACACTAGATAGCATGCAGTGTAATTCAAAATAAGAATTTATTCCAATTCACGAAAAAGTCTGATTTTTAATTTAAATCTGACAAGAAGAAAGGCAAGCTGTTGAATGTTCAATTAATCAATTCATGTTTTAATTTCCTTAACATTGTATTGAATGACTTCACTTTGGTAACAGCTTAAATAAATATGCGTATATTATGCATATGTCCCGAACTCAAACAAACTTCTGTTTAATCTTATACAAGTAGTCGCATGTTATAAAACAGCATTTATCAAACAATCTTACATTACAATACATACAAGTGACCAATTCTGCTTCATTTATTTTTTGCTGTTTTCAAATTTTCACACTATATGATTGATAATGTTAATTATGTACTGTAGTGTTACATAAAAAGGTGATACGTCAAGAGTTGACCACGACGGATGGACATACAATTACAGTTGAACAGAATACATTCGCTCATTAAGAATAAAGAGAAGGTGTGTCCATTATTCTGTACATTTTCACAAATGAATCAAAAGTACAGTAAATAGTATTTTTAAGCAAAAAAACTATAAATGTTTCTCAAATGCCTGTGGAGATGCATCTTATTCAAAAATCTATATTAAAAGAGTCATGGAAACGGATATACATGTATGTACAATTTGTAGAAGTAAAATCACAATTTTCAATTGATTTTCAAGCTAGTTCCTAAGACCCAGACATATAACAATATGTGGCATTGATGAAACACATGTTTCTAATCAAATAATATAAATCTAAGATTATATCTAAACCATCTGTTGTATTGCTGTGTTAAAAAACATTCTGAATCTTATCACATTGATTATCTGATTTTCTCCCTTCATGTTGATCATTCTAAAAGTTCTGTATTCTTCCTCCCATTGGAAATGGTCAAAACAGAAAAATAATTTGCATACAAGAAAAAAATCAGGATTTTATTCTGCTTGGATTAATAGGGAACATGTTTCTAGTATGTTAACATTTTCTTGCTAATCACAATCCTTTCTGTATTCTCTTTATGTACACCCAAGCAGCAGAGATGTTTCTGGTTCCATTTGCAGGATGACAAATCTGTTCCCTCCACAGTTTCTGATTTTCATTTTTGATAAGTCAAGCTCTCCCTATAAATCAACCCCTTCAAATAAGCCGAGTCACAATGGTCATTTCTTATTTTGTGAGTTTATGGAGGTTATAATGAAAACACGCGCTACGCGCTAACGCGCCACGCGCCAATGCGGTAATAGAAAATGATCCTTCCCCCACGATGTGTGCGCATGTTTTAAGCGCATGTTTATGATTGGTCTATACCCTTGGCCCAGGGACATGTATAATTAGGGTTATGACTCCCTGGGAACTTGTCAAAACATTGACACTTCAAAGACTGTATAAATCACCGCTAACCTGTCAATCAGACTTTGATGTGAACTTTGCGGCCGCAGGAAATAAACAAAGCTCTCAAAAATTACGCTTTTCAAGTTACGATTTCTCTAAGAATATAAGACCGATTAAGATGTTCTTCACACCGTTAAAAAACAGAATTCAACTTCAATTTAGGAAATAATTCCAAAACTAAATGAACGTGTACTTTTCTCTGTATTTGACCTGAAAGAACATGAGTAACTTAGAATTAATAAATATTTACGGCCAATTACCGGACAATGATAAAACACGCTGGTCAGGTTTACATTACTTTTAAAATCGTCTCTTATTTAAAACTTTAATTCCAAATGAAATACAATTCTGTTTTCGACGATATTCCTGGTAAAATAGGTAATACAATTCACTGGGACTGACGTAATTCAAAACTTTTTAAATCTAAAATCAAATTGAGAAAAACGAAAGCAAACATGAAAGGGGGGGTTATAGGGGTCTTGGAAATCCATATACACTATTTTTCACTAGCCCCTTAGTCTTATACCATTTACAGCATTTTTCACCCCTTTTACAGTATAACATACAGTGTATGCAATATTTTTCACATCTCCATATAGTACTATATTTTACAAAAAGCTCAGGTAAATAATATATCTGTACGATAATTTTGAAATTACCGTTGAGAAAAGTTTGGATAATATTCAGAAGGAAATAACAACATAATGCAAGAATCCACGTAGTACCAAACTGCCAAATGTATAATCATACGGCAAATATGCAGTACACAGCCCCGTAGCCAGGGGGCTTAGGAGCAACAGTGTCAAGATATAGGGACAGAAAATATTGACATTTTAAAAGTACCGTTTTTTCGTTTTGTTATTATGGAAAGTCAAACATGACTATAGATGATGTTTTATGTAGGCATTTATGTATGATACTTAACCTGTAGTAGAATGGATGATTTTTGTAGGCATTTATGTAGGCATTCTTAAAACACGTTACTTTGCCTTAAAAACGTTACTTTATTGGACTTTAACTTTTCTCCTCGAAGAATGGATAATTTTATATTAAGCATTTTCAAAACACAGTACTTTGCCAATAAAACGTTACTTTATCGTTACTTTATTGTCCCTATATCGTGACATATACACGCGGTAGTATCTCTTCGGGACGTATCGAAACCAGGCCGTCCCGAAAAACCGTTAATTTGAATTTTAAACCTACCCCAGTGTTTGAAAATCAAGGATTGTGAGTCTCACACTTCACCGTTTTTCTTCAAACTTGTTCCGTACAAAGCTTCACAGAAATACCTTTCAGTCGATACATTGTTTTCGTGTACAAAGTACCTCGTTTTAGCGGCGTTTTGGTCCCCAGCTGTGAGATAAAGCAAATTTTCATAACTTTCAACTGTTAGTCAAGTTATCTCGCCAGTCTTTTACCCATTCTCGCCCATAATTTCAGAATGGACTCCCATTACAACCTTCCATCGCTACGTCTTGATTCTTGGGCATCAAACGCAGCAGTTTCTAAATCATCCACACATCTCTTCAAATTTGACCAATACGTCCCGTCATCTTCCACTACGCCCCGCCGAGTCTATCACTATACACGTAGAGTTGCATTCTAAAACAATTTGTCCATCGATGTGTCCGTTTGTAGGTTGCCATTGTCGATTCTAAATACTAATCGGATTGTGTTTTAAGATTTACCCATTCTTGTCCATTTTCAATATACCTAAAATAGGGTGATCCAAAATCTCCCTAAAATTTAGATTTCCCGATATTGCAATATAAAGATTTTAATTACTGAACAATTGAAAATATTTTTAAGAAACGTTTAAAGTGCCCTATCCTTGAAAAAATGTTAAAATGCGAAAGGATGGGTGATGTCAATTATATTATTTTCAGCATAACGTTAGA